TTATATAATATTATTTGGTTTTATTTAAAATATAATTAATCTTTTAAATTAAAATAATTAAAATAAGTATAAAGTAAAGCTATATTAAATATTTTAAATAATTTAAATATATTAGTATATTAAAGCTATTTTTCTTATTTATTTAATTAAGTTTTAAATCTTTAATAAGATATATCTAATTAATTTATATATTTATTTTAATTAATTTATTTATTATTATATTCTCTATAAATAAATAATCTGAATCTTTTTATTTATTAATAATTTATTAAATCTTTTATAATCTTAATAATTTTTTAACTATTTTTATATAATATAATAAAGATATCTTAATATATAATATTCTTTTTAATTATATATAAGAAATATCTATATTAGATTATTTATTTAATTATTTAAATAATAATAATATACTCTGCTTTAGTAAAGCTCTAAGTAATAATATTTTATTTTTTATTAATTTAATAAATAGATAAATTATTAATTATTATTATATATTTATTAATTAATCTTTTTAATTCTATATTAATATATATTAAATTAATATATATAATAAAGATTATATTTTTATTTTTTTTAATAAAGAATATTATTCTATAATGTTTTATAATTTCAAAATATCTTAAGATATACTTTATAGAAGATAAATAAATATGATTTAAATTAATTAAATATGAAGATAATTAATTAATTAAAAATATAATATCTAATTATATTTTATATATTAAAAATATTACTTTTTAATTATTATTTTAAATATTTTATAATTCTTCTTGCTTAGCTATAAATTATTAATATAAAATTAAATATTTAATTTTATTAATATATTAATTAACTTATAATTTATTATTTTAAATTTATTAAGATTCTATTTGATATAGATTTTTTAATTTATTTTAATCAATTAATTTTTTTAGATAAATCTAATATCTACAAGCTTTTAAATTAAATTAAAATTAATTATTAAATAAAACCTTTTTAATTTTTTTAATAATATAGATTTCTGCTTTTTTATAATTAAAATTAAGAATATTATTAATATATAAAATAATAATTATTTTTTATATATTAATAAAGATATTAAGATTAGTAGTAATCAGTTTAAATCTAATATTTTTAAAAAAATTAATTATTTTATAATTATTTAGATTAGCTAATTATTTAAGTTTATATAACAAGATTTTTAATTCTAGTATTATATATTTAATTATTTTATAATTAAATTCTTAAAAACTTTAAATTATTTTTATATAATTAGACTTATCTAGCTCTGAATTAATAAAGATATTTAATCTATTTAAAAAAAAGATTTTATATTTTAATTTTACTAGTATTATTATAATAATCCTGAGATTATTTAAATAAAATATTAAAATAAAATTTTTATTAAAATTATTGTTTAATTACTTATTTTCTTTAATTATTAATCTTATTTTAAATTAATTAATTCTTTTATTAATACTAGTCCTAATATTAAAGATTTAATATATAAAAAAGATAATTTCTTCTGCTTTTTTTCTTAAGATACCTTTTTAAATTTTAAAACTAATTAATATAATAAGTTCTTTTTATATAATTTTAATTTATTTAAATCTAATTATTAATTACTTTATTATATAATATAAATATTTAAATATTTAATTTTATAAGATTTTTCTAGCTATTTTATATTTATAATCTTCTTTCTAAAATTTAAAGATAAGAATAGAAGAAATTTTAATATATTATATTAAATAATTATTTATATCTTTTTTATAGTAGAATATTTAATATTTCTTCTCAATTCTTTATTTATTTTTTTAGATTATTAATTTTTCAAGAGTCTATTAAATAATTATTATAAATATCTATTATATTTAGATTAAGATAATTTAATCTTTAATTTTTTTTAAAAAAACTTTATTTTTAAGAATTATAATTTTTTTTATTCTTAATATTATTATTTAAAACAGTAAGACTGTTTTTATTAATTATATTATTAATAATAAAATTATTCTTATCAGTGGTAGCAGCTAATTATTGTAAAAATAGAAAATTAATTAAATTAATTATTAAATTAATTATTTTTTTTAAGAAACTTATATATAAGTCTATAATTATCAATTAAAAATTTATAATAGATTTTAAGTCTAAGTTTATAAATTAAAAGCTATTCAGAGAAATAAGATTATTTAATAAAATGTAAAATAATTATTATTATTTAAATAAATTATAAAATATGCAATTAATATTTAAATAATATTTTAACTTTTTTCTATAAAATTTAGGATTTATAATAAATATTATTATATTATTATTTTTTTATATAATAATATACTATTTATTATTCTTTTTATATCTTAGAAATATTTCTTTAAATATATAGTTTTTTAGTTTATTTATATTTTTATAATAATATAATACTCTATATTTTTAAGTTTATAAATATTTAATATTAAATAAATAATTAAATCAGAATTTAAATAAAATTTTTAATTTTTTATAAATTCTCTTTAAATTCTTCATAATAATTATATAATTTCTTACATAATTAATTATATTTATAATTTATTTTTAATATATTTAATTAATCTTTAATTTAATTAATAGAATATATATAATTTTTAAAATAATCTAATTAAATTATTTAGTAATATTGTTTTAGACTAATATCTCTCTTTTATTAAATTTAAACTTAATATTTTTAAATTAATCTTAGAGAATTAAAGTAATAAATCTTTTTATATTATTAATTTAAATTATTATAAATATCTTTTCTGCTTAGTATTTTATATATTAAAATTAAGTATTTTATTATTTCTGAATATTTTTAGATTTTTAAGATTTTATAATATATATTTATAAATAATAGCTATAATTATTAATTAAAAAAATATTTTTTTTACTTCTTTATAATTTAGGTTCTAAAAGTTTATATAAATAGTTTTAAAAGATTAAATAATATAAAGAATAAAAATATAACTCTGTTTCTTAATTTATTTTATATAAATATAGATTTTATATTTATTTTTATATAAGTAATCTTTTTTTAAGCTATAGATTCTCTATATCTGAATAAATTATATATTTATTAAAATATTATTTTTTAAAATATCTAAGATATTAATATATCAAGCTCTGCTTCTTTATTTTAATTATATTTTAAAAGATTATTAAATATATATAATACTTAATCTTCTATAGATTTATAATTTAGATTATTAAATATTTTATTATATTGAAATATATTATTCTTTTTAATTTTTAATTTTTTATAATTATTTTATTATTTTTCAGAATCTGATAGTTATGCTAAAATCTTTATAATTTTTATTTATTAATATAAAATATTTTTTAAAAAAGAGGATTAAATTATTAGATCTAAAATATACATAATATTTTTTAATTTTATTATAAAATTATTTAAAAACTTAAATTTAATTATTTTATAATTTTTAATTAATAATTTATAATTACTGATTATTATAAGAATCCTTTTTTGTATAAAATTTAATAAAATAAATAATTCTCTTTGTCTTATTATATAATAGATTATTTTATTATTAAGATATTATTAATTAAATTAGTTAGAATTATTAAACTCTATATTAATATTCTTTATTAATTTTATTTTAATATTATAATTATTAAAAGAGATATTAATTTATTTTATATATTAATATATTATTTTAAAGAATTAAGCAGTTACTCTGTTAGTATTCTTATTATTATAATTTTAATCTAATTCTTCTTTAAATTAATAATCAGCAAATTATCTCTTATATTTAATAAATTATTTCTTAATAAAATATTTTTCTTAACCTTATATTCTAAGCTATTAAAATATAAATCTTTTGTTTTAATAGTAATTATTTATTATATAATTTCTTTTTATAATTAAAATAGATTATATTCTTTTTTTAAAAATTAAATACTCTAAATCTTTTCTTTTTACTAATATTTTTTATTAGATTATTATAATTATCTATATAATTTATAAAATAATTCAGAATTAGAAGAATATTTAAACTGATTCATATATTTTTAAAATTAATATATTTATTTAATAAACTATTAAGATATTATATAACTAATAAATTACTAAGAATTAGTATTTTACTTTATAAATATTAACTAATTATTGATATAAATTTTTAATTTTAAGAAATTTCTTCTTTTTAATATAATTAATTTTTTTTTTAATTAGCTAACTTCAGTAGTTACTATAATTTTAAAATCTTAAAAACTTTTATATAAATCTTCTATAAATATTATTATATCTTTTTCATATATTTAAAACTTTTAATAATTAAGATTATATTTTTATCAAGTCTTATCTAGATTATTATTCTAATTTTTATATTAATATTTTATTATTTAATATTTAATATAATAAATTTATTCAGAATCTCTCTAGAGATTTTATTATAAAATTTAATATTTTATTAAATAAATTATAATTTTAATTATTATTATATTAAATAAAATTAATATTAAATATTTCTTTTAATTAATTTAATAATCTTAAACTTTTTTATTCTAATATTAAAATCTAGAATTAATTTTCTTATTACTAGCTTCAGCTTTATAATTAAAATATTTTAATAATTTAAGATTAATTATTAAAAATATATTAATCAGTAATATTCGCAGAAATAAATTATAAATTAGATATATAAATAAAAAAAAATTAAATAATTTATATAAAATATTAAGCTAATATAAATCTTTTAGAATATAGAACTTAAAATAATTTAATAAATTAATAAAATCAGGCTTATAATTAATAAAAAGAATTCTTAAAAATATAAAGATTTTTAAATATTTTATTTATATATAATCTAAAATATAAATATGAAATACTAATAATAAATAAAATAAATATTTCTTAATATTATAATATTAATATTTTAAATATTTAATAATTTTTATTTAATAACTATTAATAAATCTGTTTTAAAAATTTACTAGATTATTGTACAAAGAATATAAGGGAGCAAAAGGTTGATAGATTTAACTAGCTAGGGGCAGCTGTCTACTTAAGATATTAGCAGAATATTAAATTATATAACTAATAATATAATATTATATAATATAGTCTAATATCTTTCTGGCTTGAAATTCTATAAATAATATAAAAAAATAAAACTATTTCTAATATTTTTTTTATATATAAATTCTTATTCTTAGTATTTTTATAAAATAAATAAATATTATAAATATAAATAATTTAATTAATTTATTTATTATTTATTTTTTAATTAAAATATAAATAAAATTAATATTATCAGTAGTAATAATTTATCTGATAAAGTAATATTTAATCTAAATATATTTAATATAAATATAATATTCTAGATTATATAATAATATAATAATACTCTAATTATTAGTCTAAATAAGAATTAAATAAGATATTATAATTTATATTATATTATTCTGCTGAAGATAAAGTTTATTAAATAATAATTAAAATTAAAGTATTTTCTAAACAGACAGCACCTGAATAATATATTTAATTATAATAAAAAAATATAATAATAAATTATTTCTTAAAATATTATAAAATAGATTTTTTAATAAGAATAAAAATATAGCTATTTATTAAAGCTGATTTATTAATATAAGAATCTATTTAATTAGTATTATAATATATAAGAAGATCTAGATTATTAAATATAAAAAGCAAATAAAATCTAGTAATTTTTTTAAATAATAATAGATTTAAATAATAATAGTAAAATAAATCTTAAATAAATTAATAATATAATAAGCAATTCTATTTATTATATAGATTATATTAGAATATATTTTAATAATTAATTAAATTAAGTATCTAAACTATTTTTAATATATTTTAATTTTATTAATTATAGCAAGATCTTTAGGATTCTTAATAATTAAAATAATCTTAAGATTATATAAAATTAAAAAAGACTTATAATTCTTAAGATTAAATTATTTTAAAATATTAAAAATATAATATTTTTATAAGACTATAATATTTTTAGTATAATAAATAAGATTTATATTAAGACATTATTTTATATAATTATTATTAATATATTTAAATATCTTACTAATTATATTTTTAATTTTTTTAATATAATTAAGATTAGATAATAATAGCAAGATATTATTAATATAAATAAAAATATAAATATTATTATAAACAAATATAATATAATTTATATATATATATAGATTTTTATAAGATAAAAAGATTATAAAATAATATATATTATTTTCTAAATAATTATTTTAAGTTATAAATAATTTTAAGAAATAATTTATAATAATCTAATTTTTTAAAATCTTCTAGAAGTTAAATATAAAGTAGCTTATATAATTTAATATTAAAAAAAATAATTATAATATTAATATTATATAAATATTACTTAAACTTTATAATTAATATAATAAAGATTTTTAGATTTATTAATTTTATAATAGTTATATAGATTTTATATATTTTAAAATCTTTATCTGATTATTATTTATAATTTTTAATTATAAGATATATTTTATAAATATTATTAGATTTAATTTATTAAATCTAATATATTAATAAAAATCTTATTTTTTTCTCTCTGTAAATAATATAAAAAATCTCTAAATCAAAATATTATTTAATCTTATAATAGATTATATTATATTATTTTATTAATTTTTTATATAATATAATATTTAGTTATAAGAATAGAATATATTTTTTATTAGATAATTTTAATAAAATAATATTATTATATAATATTTTAAATAAAATATTATATAATAATATTAGTTATTAAATTAAATAAGATATTTATAATATATAGCTATTTCAAAAAATTAATAAAATTATTATTTTTATAAGATTTTATAAAAATCTTTTATAAAAGTTATAATACTATAATATAGATCTAGGATATTTTATTTATTTTATTTATTTATTTTATTTATTTAATCTATTTAATTTATTTAATTTATTTAATCTATTTAATCTGCTTTATTCTAATAATCTGACTATTTATAATTTTCTTAATTATTTATTTATTTTTAATTTTATTAATAGCTCTTTGAGCTATATCTTATTTATAAATCTAAGAATAATCTAATTTAGAAGAAATAATAAAATAGAAATTATATATTTATTCTTAATATTTTAATTAAGAATTAATATATAATTTTTCTAGTATTTTATATAATATAATTAAAATATATAGCTAAAATAAAATAATAATTATATATTTTTATATATATTTTTTATTATAAGAATAATAATTTTATAAAACACTGAATTTTATTAATATAACTAGAATATTCTTATTATTTTTAATAAATAATAATAAAAAAGATACTGATTTCTTTTTTAATTATATTTTTTTAATTTAAAAAGCTTCTTTTTATATATTTTTAAATAATAATAAAAATAGTCAGATTAATAATTATTTAATTTAAATATATCTTAATTATACTAGAGCTTAAAAAAATATAATAAATAAGTCTTAATATTAAAAATAATTAAAATAATTAATTATCTAGTTTTTAGCTATATTATAATCAGATATAAAGATTTTCTTAATCTAATTATAATCTGGCAGTTAGATATAAAAGTTCTAATTAATCTAACCTGACCTGGCTGTTAGCCACTCTAATTTTAAGATATAATTTTATATACATATAATTTATTATATTTTAATATACAGCTGAGATATCTGCTATATTTTATTTATTTTAATAAATTTAATAAATAGAAATTTATATCTGAAACCTAGAATTATAAAATAGTTTTTTTTTTAAATAAAGCTATTTAAGATATAATATACTAAAATAAAAAATAGATATTTATAAAAAGAATTTATAAAAGATTTTTATAAGATCTTTTATAAGAGCTGTAATATTATAATATAGATCTAGTATACTTTATCTATTTTATTTATCTATTTTATTTATTTAATTTATTTAATTTATTTAATTTATTTAATTTATTGAATTTATTTAATTTATTTAATTTATTTAATTTATTTAATTTATTTAATTTATTTAATTTATTTAATTTATTTAATTTATTTAATTTATTTAATTTATTTAATTTATTTAATTTATTTAATTTATTTAATTTATTTAATTTATTTAATTTATTTAATTTATTTAATTTATTTAATTTATTTAATTTATTTAATTTATTTAATTTATTTAATTTATTTAATTTATTTAATTTATTTAATTTATTTAATTTATTTAATTTATTTAATTTATTTAATTTATTTAATTTATTTAATTTATTTAATTTATTTAATTTATTTTGTTTATTAAAATTATTTAATTTATTTGATTTATTTAATTCATTTAATTTATTTAATTTATTTAATTTATTTAATCTATTTAATCTATTTTATTTTAATAATTTAATTATTTATAATCTTTTTAATTATCTATCTATTTCTGATTTTATTAATAGCTCTTTAAATTATATTTTATTTATAAATCTAAGAATAGTTTGATCTAGAAGAAATAATAGAATAAAAATAATATATTTATTTCTAGTATTTTAATTAATAATTAATATATAGTTTTTCTAGTATTCTATATAATATAATTAAAATATATAACTAAAATAAAGCAATAATTATATATTTTTATATATATTTTTTATTATAAGAATAATAATTTTATAAAAAGCTAAATTTTATTAATATAACTAGAAGTTTCTTATTATTTCTAATAAATAATAATAATAAAGATATTAATTTCTTTTTAATTATATTTCTTTTAATTTAAAAAGCTTTTTTTTATATATTTTTAGAGAATAGTAAAAATAGCTAGATTAATAATTATTTAATCTAAATATATTTTAATTATATTAAAGCTTCAAAAAATATAGCAGATAGATCTTAATATTAAAAATAATTAAAATAATTAATTATCTGATTTTTAATTATATTATAATTAGATATAAAAATTTTCTTAATCTAATTATAACCTGCCGGTTAGATATAAAAATTCTAATTAATCTGATCTGATCTGGCTGTTAGCCACTCTAGTCTTATTCTATATAAGTAATTATTCTTATAATCTTAAAATAAAATATATTATAAAAAATATATTTATTAGCTTTTTATAATTTATTTAAATCATAAGTTATTTCTTAGAATTTCTATTTTTATATTAGTAATAATTCTTTATTATATAATCTTATTTTTTATAATTAAAATATTTTATTATTCCTGCAAGCACTGATACAGAATCTTATAAAATAAATATTTTTAATATATTTAATTATGAAATATCTTTCTATAAAAAGCTTTTATAATAATTCTAATTATTAAATTATTTTATCTAATTTATAAATACTAGTAATCTTTTTTATATATATAACTAATTCTTTTACTTTATTAATTAATATTTAATCCTAATTTTATAAATAATATAATTAAATCTTATTTAATAATAAAAAAATCTAATTACTTACAGATTTTTTATTTTATATTTTATAAAAATAATTTAAAAAATAAATATAATTATATAATATTTAATTTTTATATTTTATAATCTAGTTTTATTTTTATTCTTTTTAATATTATAAATATATAAAGCTTTTTTTATAAGAAATTATTTTTAAAATTTATAATCCTATTTTTTATTTATAATTTTCTAAATTATCTAGCTATATCTTAAGAAATTTATAAAAATTTATTTAATTATTTTTTTAAAAATATTTTATAATTTTATTTTTTATAATTATTAAATATATAATCTAGATAAATTACTATAATTTATATTTATTAATTTTTATTTTAATTATTAATTTTTATAATAGACTCTTACTAAATAATAAATATTATAATATTTATTATTTATAAAATATATATATATATATATTAGTCTTCTTTAATTTTATAAATAAAATATTAAAATTATTTAGAGATTTATAAAATTCTTTATTATTTATAAAAATTTCAAGTCTTTACTCTAGTTCTATAATTTATTAAAATATATTTAATTATTTATAAAAAAATTTAAAAAATAATAAAATTATATTTATTTTAATTATTTTTTATAATAATTTTTATAATTAATTTTAAAAAATTCAAAAAATTCTTATAAATATAATATTTAATATTTTATATAAATATAATTTTAATAAATTATCTTATGGATTTTAAATAATAAAATTATAAGAATATATATTAAAATAATATAAAAAAAATATATTTATTATAAAATTAAGATAATATTTATATTATTTAAAATATTATAATTAATCTTTTATCAAGCTTCTCTTATAGATAAATATATTTTTAAAAATTCTATAAATTATATATTATATTAATATAATAATCTTCCAAGAGACTGTCTCTGTAGTATAAATATTTCTTATAATATAATATATCACAAGTGTTATAAGGATTACTATCCTTACACTAACAGATTATGTTATTGTATACAGGCTGACACTCCATGGAGCTTGCACAGCGGCCCACAAATGCAATCGGCTTTTTAACCCAAATACATCGGTCATGGGAAACTTTTACTATTACATTGTTATGTAAGGATGTAATAAATATGCACAAATATAAAATAATAGCCAAAGTAAAAATTACAAACCCTTAATAAAATCAAAGGAGCACAGTCACAATAAATACAGATGGTAGAGGTATGTATACCTTCTCAAAATCCGGCCCAAGCACGAGGAGGCCTTTTGACTTGAAACACACAACTCTCCCAACATAGCGGACAGGCGAGCTATAGGCGCTGTATATCAGTCGAGTACGCAGTATCCATCATTTGTTGAGTTCAACATAATTTGCCGGGAAAAGACCCTTTCTACCAAGGTAGACACCAAACCACCAGTCATCATCAGGGAACTCCTGGAGAGCAGTCAGTAACATTTTACGTTGATTTAAAAGACCTCATGGATGGCAATGAATCATGAAATGGAAGTCAACCCATACGCCATCAGACGATGAGGAAGTTTCCAATAGTAATTGCCCATGACTTACAATTTTTGTAATCTCGGCACCCTCCGGGAAGCTTAGCTCGTTATCTTCAGCGGCTTCGTAGTCATACAACGCCGTCGCAGTGGGTTCTGTGACTGGTGCTGGAGGAGATTCGATTTCTGTGGAAATGGCGGCTGAATCTGTTTCAGGCTCATTGCCCTGCACCTCCGATTCTCTGTCGGCAATCACCTCGACATAATTACTTGGGAAAAGGCCCCTGTCGCCGTGAGAGTTGGATCCCAACCACCAATCTTTGTCGACCATTTCGATATCGGCTACATACTCGCCTTCCTTGAGATCAATCTCGTTGTCTTCCGCCTTCTCGTAGTCATATTGAACAAGAGCATGAATTCCCTTTGTTCGGCTATCATTGTCAGGAGTCTCTTCAGCTGTTGCACGTCGAGAGTCCTGGTTTTCCTCTTCAAGCTCCTTGTATCCTGTGATATTCTCTTGCAAACCCAGAGTGGTTGTAGGACTTGCTGGTGAGCGTTTTTCGTCGTTGGTATCTTCAATTCCTTTCCCAATGGGCACAGCGACACGTATAGGTGAGCTTTCACGCACCGGAGTTAGTGGGCCTGGAGACCGGTCTTGTCTTGTTCGGGTAGGAAGTATTTGATGAGCTACGGGCTCATGTGTAATTTCCAGATCGACAGGGCTTTTCCGACTTTCCTCTGGGGTTGCATTGTGATCAGTAATTGGAACAGCTTGGTGATCGGAGGGCCTTTCAAACGAAGGCCCGTGATCAATTTGTTCGCGAATGACGCTAACACTTGGTAGGTGTGTCCGGGTGTCTGCTTGAGGCTCCTCACTTGTCACATAATCAGAGGTCTGGTGAGCGGAGGAAACTTCACTGCCAAATGATTTGCCAGTGTGTGTGGTCTGAACAGGAGCCCAGGATTTGCCGCTATATGAGCTCTTCCATTCCCCCTTATCACTGTGATGGCTTTGAACGGCGGACTCGGCATTGGACTGATGTGAAGAGGGCGGAGCCATGTCTTGCTCACGTGCCCTGGCTTTCCTCTCTGCCCAAAGTTGGGCAGGTGTCTTACCACCCTCATCAGCAAAGGTCCGGCTTGCGCCACCAATTTGTACGGTAGTTGGGTTCGAATTCAATGCCGGACTGCTTGGAAGGGGTGGCTTTGTTCCTGCGAATGACGAAGCAGCACCAAACTTGTTTGAAACTTTCGGCTTCGGGAGGCTTTGCAGGCGCTCAGAATCACCTGAAGATGAAGACCCGCCAGGGAAATTTTCATTTTCAGCGGGGCCTGGAGCCTGGACTGGTGCAGTATGCCGGGGTTCATTGTTCGATGGAGGGGAACCTGGGAGTTTTGCCTTTGAACGAATTGCGGCAATATCAACTTTCCCGACAGGTTGGTATGCACCTTTGACAGGCTCTGGCCGATCGTCATCGATACCACTTGCTTCACGCGCCTGCCTTCTTATCGCAGCAATGTCCACCTTTCCAATAGGCTGGTAGCCGCCTTTCACAATATCACCCCGATCATCGGGGGTATGTTGAACCATGGCCTTTGCCGCAAATTTATTATCTGATTTGAGGTCCTCCATGTTGACTTTGGTGGGTTTGTAGGCTGGCTGGACTTTTTCAAGCTCGGTCCTCGTAACCGGAGGTGCATTTGGGCCCCATCCATCGTCATCGCCATCTCTCTTTTGAACCGGCCGCAATGGGCCTGCTGCTGCTGCATCCAGCGCAATGCCAGTGGTCCGGCTAGGAGTGAACGCTGGTTTAGTTGACACTGGTGACACGGGTGTTAACGAGCGCTGCTGGGCCGCACTCGGAGTATACTTTGCACCAGATGCATCGCCAACTTTATGTATGATTCCATCGGCGGTTAGATCTCCCTCGGAGCGTGCTGTAATTTGCACATGATAGCCCTAGGAATACGGCCAGTGAGTTATGTGAGCACATACATATTATAATGGAAACTAACATGTAAGAACTTTGACACAGCGGACAAATGACTGGTGAAATATCCTTTCGTCCGCTCAGGCACTCCCTCCCCACACCAAGCAATCAAGACATTTTTCGGAAGCCCGGTATTCGGGTCAGTGACTTTGACATAGGCAAATTGTATCTTCCCTTCGGAAAATTCATCTATGAGATCCACCAATTCACCCGCTTGGAATACACAATTAGTGAATTATTTAATATCCGATGGTATAACAACACACCTCCCGTATCTTGGACCTTCATGACACTCTCCTTGCTGCCGGAATCTTGCTGGAAGGCATTCGTGAGAGGTGTAGAAACAGAGAAGATTGCCCATTGGCCATGCGTAGGAGAACCTGTACCAGAAATCGGAAGAGTTGAGTTGATGACGGCCTGGTAGCTCTTCGATATTGAAGGCCCATTGACTGACAAATTCAGCGCCGCCATGTCCGTGAAATAGAGAATCTCGAAAGCAGACTTTAGAATGTTTGGTATAGGGCGACAGGGGGGACTCGATAGCTCCCGGTTAAACGTGAAGTTCAAAGGACAGCTAGCAACATGTCAGAGTTACCAAGCTACAAGCATGAGTAGCAATACCTTTCTTGTATGGCGTAGGCAAATTAAGAAAAAAAGGTGTACGTTGCAGTGGGATGAAGGTTTCCTGACTTGATCAGGAGAGTGGTTGCTGCTGCCTTGTTGAACGGGCGGGTTGTGCATCACTTGTACGGACTAGGGTACGTCACACTACCGGAATTCGGAACGACAATGAGGCGGTGCACCTCCTTTTAGTTGTACGCAATGAATCATTAGACATCAGACTGCAATGCTGGGCTCTACGCATGTACTATTTATTCACACCATACTCTGCGAAGGTCAAAATATTGATTGATGTGTATCTATAGACGTCAATGATAGTGTATGATAGGAATCCTTGTAACCCTCGTTCTATATCGCGAAGATATTATAATCGTAAACATCTAATTATATATATTTTTTTAATTTTGATAGGTATATTTGAATATAAAAAAAGGTATAATTGTTAGGGAACCGGCTCAGGTTGAGGTTAAAATATGATAGATTAACTGTTAGTATTGGATTGGAAGGAGGGCTTGGCCCAGTGGTGGCCTTGGATTCAGCTGCTCTGTTGACCAGACCTCAGCCTGTTGATTCTATCCCTCGGCTATTTCTGGATTATATTTTATATATATTATTTCTGTCTGATTATATATCTATATAGTATCTGCTTATATAGTAATATTATAAAACCAGGTTTTTATTAGCTTATCTTACTAGCTATTATCTTGATTATTAAAATTAATAATTATAAGCCTGGTTTGCTATAGTATTTAATTATCTATTATATTATGTTTAAATTTTTTATTAAACTATTAAGCCTTTTTCTAATTAATTAACTCTTAATATCACGGTCTGACACCTACTACCACTATCACCTGTCCTGAATCTGTCTGTCCTGTCCTGGAGTCTCTTTATATAGTATATATAGTATAAAGCTATCAGCTTTATATATTAGTTCTTTTACTGATAGTACAGTGACTTAGTATCAGAATATATATCTAATATTATATTATAATAATATATAAAACTATTTTTATTAATTATTAGTTTAAATCTTAGACTATATAACTACTGGACTAATTATATAAATATTTATTTCTTTATTTCTTTATCTGTCTGAGATCTCTCCATAATACTAAAATACTAGTATTTTAAAAAAAGAATTAAATATTATAATATAATATTTATTATTATTATTATTTATTCTAAATCTGCTGTTTGTTTCTGAAGTTTTTTTATATAATATATATAATATAAAGTTATTATAAGGGGTGCTTATAAGATAGTATGATGAAGATATATCTATTATAGAGTGGCTAACAGCCAGGATAGAATAGATTAATAGATAAATTTATATCTGCTGTCAGATTAATAATTAGATATAAGATTCTGATTATCTTATATCTAATTACAAAATAGTTAAAAATAAAATAATTAATTATTTTAATTATTCTTAATATTAAGATTTATTTATTAAATTCTTTTTAGATTTTAACTTAAATAAAATATACTTAGATTAATCTTTATCTATTTAAAGTGGATTCTCAGGGATATAGAGACTTCTGGATACTTTACTTATATATAATTTAAAATATAGATATAGATTACTAATAAAAAATAAAAAGAATATTTCTTAAACTTATAATATTAATATTCTAGGTACTTAATAATTTCTATTTAATAATTACTAACAGACTTTTTTAAAATATTTGCCAGAATATATACTTAATTAAAAAAAATAATTTTTTATTTATAAATCTAGCTATATTATATTACTTCTTTTTATTTAAAATATAATTAAACTTTTAAATTAAAATAGTTAAAATATGTATAAATTAGAGTTGTGTTAAATATTTAAATAAATTTAGATATATTAATATATTAAAGCTAATTCTTCTATTTATTTAGATAAATTCTAAATCTTTAATAAAATATATTTAATTAATTTATATAATTACTTTAGTAAATCTATCTGTTATTATATTCTCTATAAATAAATAAATAATTTAAACCTTTTATTTATAATATAATTATAAATAATATAATATTAGATAAAGATATACTTTATTTATTAATAATTTACTAGATTTTTTATAATCTTAAGAATTTTCTGATTATTGTTATATAATATAATAAAAATATTTTAATATATAATATTTTTTTCAATTATATATAAGAAATATATATACTAAATTGCTTATTTAATTATTTTAATAATAATAATTTACTCTGCTTTAGTAAAGCTCTGAGTAATAATAATTTATTTTTTATTAATTTAATAAATAAATAAATTATTAATTATTAATGTATACTGAATTATTATATATAATAAAGATTTTCTCTTTATTTTCTAAATAAAAAATATTATCTTATAATTTTTTATAATTTTAAAATATCTTAAGATATACTTTATAATAGATAAAAAAATCAGACTTGAATTAGTCAGCTATTAAGATAATTAATCAGTTTAGAATATAATATCTAATTATATTTTATATACTAAGAAAATAAATTCTTTAATTAATATTTTAAATATTTTATAAGTCTTCTTACTTAGCTGTGAATTATTAGTATTAAATTAGATATTTAATTTTATTAATATATTAATAAACTTATAACTTATTATTCTAAATTTCTTAGAAATCTATTTAATATAGATTTTCTAATTTATCTTAACTAATCTATTCTTTTTTTAGATAAATCTAATATCTAGAAGCTTTTAAATTAAGTTATAATTAATTATAGAATAAAGTCTTTTTAATTTTTCTTTTTAATATTATAGATTTCTACTTCTTTATAATTAAAAATAAAATAATAATTATTTCTTATATATTAATAAAAATACTAGAATTAATAATAGCTAATCTAAATCTTACTTTCTTAAAAAAATTAATTATTTAAATTCAAAGACTTTCTTAATTCTAGCATTATATTTTTAATTATTTTATTATTAAATTCTTAAAATTCTTAAAATACTTTTATACAGTTTGACTTATCTAGCTCTAAATTAATAAAAATAGTTAATATATTTAGAAAATAAAATTTATATTCTAGCTTTATTAATATTATTATAATAATTCTAAGACTATTTAGATAAAATATTAAATTATTATTTAATTACTTATTTTCTCTAACTACTAATCTTATTTTAAATTAATTAATTCTTTTATTAATATTAATCTTAATATTAAAAATTTAATATATAAAGAAGATAATTGTTTCTGTTTTTTTAGAATAATTTTTAAATTTTAAAATTGATTAATATAATAAGTTCTTTTTATATAGATTTAATTTATTTAGATTTATAGATTTATTTATTAATTATTTTATTATATAATCTAGATATTTCAATATCTAATATTATAAAAATTATAAAACTTATTTTATATTTATAATATTTTTCAAAAAATTTAAAAATAAAAATAAAAAAATCTTAATATATTATATTAAATAATTATTTATATTTTCTCTTTTTATAGAGGAGTATTTAATATCTTTTCTTTATTTTTTATTTATTTCTTTAGATTATTAACTCTTTAAGGATCTCTTAGATAGCTATTATAAATATTTATTATATTTAGATTAAAATAATTTAATGTCTAATTATTTCTTTTTAAAAAGAATTATTTTTAGAAATTATAATCTCTTTTCTATTTTTAATATTATTATTTAAAGTAGTAGAAATATTATTATTAGTTATATTATTTATAATAAAGCTATTCTTATTAGCTATAATATCTAATTATTTTAAAAATATAAAATTAATTAATTTAATTAATAATCTAATTATCTTCTTTAATAAACTTATATATAAGTCTATAATTATTAATTAAAAAATTTTAGATAAATAAGATTATTTAATAAAATATAAAATAATAATAAATTTTTAAATAAATTGTAAAATATATAATTAATATTTAAATAGCATTCTAACTTTTTTTTATAAAATTTAGAATTTATAATAAATCTTGTTATATTATTATTCTTTAATATAATAATTATTTATTTATTTTTTATATTTTAGAAATATTTCTTTAGATATACAGCTTCTAAGTTTGCTTATATTCTTATAATAATTTAAAATTCTATATTTCTAAGTTTATAAATATTTAATATTAGATTAATAATTAAATCAGAGTTTAAATAAAATCTTTAATTTTTTGTAAAATTCTTTTTAAGTCTTTATAATAATTATGTAACTTCTTAGATAATTAATTATATTTATAATCTATTTTTAATATACTTAACTAATCTTTCATTTAATTAGTAGAATATATATAATTTTTAGAATAATCTAATTAAATTATTAAATTATACTGTTTGAGCTGATATCTCTGATTTAATAAATTTAAACTTAATATTTTTAAATTAATTTTAAAAAGTTAAGATAATAAGCTTTTTAATATTATTAATCTAGATTATTATAAATATTATTTCTGTAGGTTAGTTTTATTCAGAAATAATTTAACTATTACTAGTGACAGAATTATTAATACTATTAAAAAGATTTATTATAATAATTATAATAATCGTAATAATTACTGTAATTATTAGATTTAGCGAAATTAAAGATTTCTCTATAATTATTATTTTTAATTATAATAAGATATTCTATCAGATAATTTATTATAATTAAAATATTTTATAAAATAGGTTTCTTATAGTTAGAAAATAAAATATAAAATAAATATTTATTATGATTATTATAATTATAATCGGTACTACTTATAATAGTTATATTATTAATATTATTGGATAAATTTAGTACTAAAAATATAAATCAAACAATATATAAAAAATATAGATATATTTATATTATTTGTAATAATTAATCTAGATTTTGAATATCTCTGTCTTTAATAATAATTAGTAAGACGTTAAAGATTTCTAATATTAGAAAATAACAGAAGAGAGAATATAAAAAATTAAAATAATAATTAAAATTATAAAATACAAATATATAAAATAAAATAAAATAATAAATATAAATATAAAGTTTATAAATATAGAATCTTTACATTCTGATAATAATTCTTTAATTAAGATAGATTTAGTAACTCTAGAGTTCATTAATTAAATAGAATAAATATAAGAAATAGTTTTAAAAATAACTTAATCTT